CAAAATGAACAACGTTCGAATACAGACGAGGCAACCTGCCCAATAAACCTAGAAAAGAAGACTAAAATGAGAGGACACACCCTAAGGTGGCCTAGATACAACTCAAACTCAACAACTGAAAAAGAGAAAAATAACAGAGCTCAAAGCCTAGTCCACTATCCCACTCCAAACTCAAACAAACAAACTAAGAAAGAACACTGAACAAACCAAAGAAAACAAAGGCTAAAAACCAACACCAAACAGAACCAATTAAGATTGCACAGTCTTCAGATCACTGAACTCCATCCAAGCAAGATGAGCTTTGCTGACCACCACATGGATTGGAAGTTTGATTCCTTCAAAGATCCAGAGATTTCTGGATTTCCACAACTACCACAGCAGGTAGGTTGTGAGCTGAATCCTCTCCTCAGTTACCTTAGTCTTGTTGATAGAGCATAAGTGCCACCACCATGATCTAAAAAGACCCCCTTCAGAGTCCACTTCTTCCCATTTAACTGGACTTAGTTTCCACATCAGTTGTGCTCTATCACAATGGAAGAAAATATGTTCAATGGTCTCTGGAGCACAACCACAACCACTGCATACCACATCAATGTCAATTCCTTTTTGGGCCAGTTTAACTTTCACAGGAAGAGTGCCAATAACACACTTCCAGATGAAGTGCTTTATAGTTTTCTTGATTTTCAAATTCCAATTCCTGATCCTAGCTTTTTTAATGCAAGAGAGGTTCCTGCTGCTACCTGGAATATCAAAGTGAAGAATTTTCTGTTTGATCAAGAAATCATAAGTTGAAGAGACAGAGAAGTGACCCTTCTTTTCTAAGCACCAGAAAATCCTGTCCTTTTTAGATGGGTTCAAAGTATGGATATCCAGAATTGCTCTGCTGTCAGCTTCACCAAAGAGTTGGTTCACCAACCATGAGTTCCATCTTAGTCCATTGTCCTGTATCAGCTCCTTGACCCATGTGATGTGACCTTGAGCAATGCTCAGAAGAGAGGGCTTGGTAAGGGGACTGCTTGGGATCCAGTTAATGTCATTGATTCTAGTAGATGCCCCATCATTAATTTCAGTTCTCATACCTTGAGCAAGAATAAGCAGGCAATCTATCCATGAGTTCCAGATCCAGGAGCCATTTTGAGTTTTAGAAATGTCAAATATAGAGCAGTTTGGGAAATATCTTCTCTTGAGAACCTGGCTCACAAGCAAATTAGGCTGAGTCACCACCCTCCAGAGTTGTTTACAAATGAGGGCTTTATTGAAAGAACTGATGTCTTTGAAGCCTATGCCCCCATCTGATTTTGGAATTGAGAGAAGATGCCAAGCTTTCCAGTGCAGTCCAACCTCTTGTGTATCCCCTTTACTCCACCAGTAGTTTGCACTCAGTCTAGAAATGTCTTTACATACAGAAGTTGGCAGTTTAAAACAGGACATTGTAAACACTGGTAAAGCATTGATGACAGCCTTAATTAATACCTCCTTGCCAACAACTGAGATCATCTTATTCTTCCAACTCCACAGTTTAGCTTTTACTGAGTCTAAGACATAAGAGAACACTTCTGATTTTGATCTGCCAATCCCCAGAGGGAGGCCCAGATATCTGGTAGATGAATGCAGTTGAATACCAGCCATAATAGCACACACTTGATTCTGAGCAGTAAGAGAGGTGTTTTTACTGAAAAATGCAGATGACTTTTGGATGTTCACTCTTTGGCCTGTAAATAATCTGTATCTCTCCAACAAGTTCATCAATTCCTGAGCTTGATTAGTATCAGCTTTGCAAAAGAACAAGGCATCATCTGCAAAGAGCAGGTGAGATAATGCTGGGCCATTCTGAGACAGTTTAATTCCAGTAAGAGCTCCTCTTGCCAATGAATCAGAGATAAGAGCAAAGAGTAACTCTGTGACAATAATGAATATGAAGGGGGATAAAGGATCCCCCTTTCTGATTCCTCTTGATGGAGAGATAGCACCAGTCAAAGATCCATTCACAATAAAAGATAGAGAGGTGGTAGTAATACATACCATGATAAGCTTGACCAGCTCCAAACTAAAGCCCATTCTGATCATAATTTTTTCAATGCAGATCCACTCAACTCTATCAAATGCTTTCATGAGATCCAGCTTTAAAGCCATAAAGAAGTTCTTTCCAGATCTGTGTCTGCTGAGAAAATGAAAGACTTCCTGTGCCAATATCACATTGTCTAGAAGTTGCCTGTCCTGAATAAAGGCAGATTGACTTGGACTAATACAAGCAGACAAGCAGGATTTGAGTCTAGAGGCCAACAGTTTGGATAGCACTTTATAGACCACAGTACAAAGAGAGATAGGTCTGAACTGATTAAGAGATGTGGGGGCATTACATTTAGGCACTAGAGAGATTATAGTATGGTTCCAATATTGTAAGAGCATACCAGAGTTGAAGAAGCTTTGGACTGCTTCAATGAGATCCCCTTGAATTAGATTCCAGAAGTGCTGGTAGAAGTAGGCTGCCATGCCATCCTCACCTGGGGATTTGTCAGGGTGAAGACTGAACAATGCTGCCTTAATTTCATCTTCTTCAACCGGTTTAAGGAGCTCTTGGTTCATTTCCACTGAGATTGATTGAGGAATGAGGTGCAACATGGAATCTCCCCCCCAAGAACCTTCTGAAGAGAACAATGAAGAGTAGTAAGTGGTAATGTGATTTTCAATATCCCTTCTAGAAGAGTAGACTCTGTTAGCATCAGTGATAAGTCTTGAGATTGCATTCTGCCTTCTTCTGGACATAGAATAAGCATGGAAAAATTTAGTGTTAGAGTCCCCCTCCTTTAGCCACTGTACTCTTGCTTTCTGAGCCCAGAATTTCTCCTCATAGGTATAAGCATCCTTAAGTTCTTTTGAAACTGAATTCCATTCCTCCCAATTATCTGCTCTACCAGCTTCTCTGATTTCCTCAAGCTTATTAGAAAGAGCAGCAATCTTTTCTTGGTTTTGAGATTTGAATTTTGAGCTCCATATGAGAAGAGCAATTCTTGTCTGCTTCACTTTTTCTTTGAGTCTGAAGAAAGGTGTGCCAGACTGAGGAATGGACCAGGCTTTCTGCACTACCTCAGCAAATCCTTCTTTAGAAATCCATCTTCTATCAAAGGCAAATCTCCTCTTGCATCTAGATTCTTGAGAACCAGCATTAAGAATAAGGAGAGAGTGATCTGAGGCTGTTCTTATCACATTAAGCACTTTAGCATTGGGGTGTGAACTGAGCCATTCAAAAGAAGCAAATGCTCTGTCCAGCTTCTCTTCAACATATCCCTCAGTATCTCTGTTGTTCCCCCATGTAAACTGGTGTCCTTCCATACCAATCTCTTCCATTTCCATGTTGGAGATGAATTTGTTGAAGCCATCAAAACTTCTATCTTTTCTGGGTCTTCCCCTTTTTTTTCCTTCCTTGGCACAGATAGAGTTCCAATCTCCTATTGAGAACCACACTTCACCCCAAGAGTATCTATCTTCTTCCAAAATCATCCACTGAGCTTCCCTGGTTCTTTTATCAGTACTCATATAAACAAATACACCCCAGCCTTGATCCTCATGATTCAGAGAATAGTTGACAGCAATGTAAAAATCCTTAGAAACCACATTGATAATATTCACATCCTGATGCCAGAGCAATAGAAGTCCACCACTTTGCCCTCTAGGATCCACAATATAGTGTCTGTCTGTGAATCCCAGCTTCCTACTAACAGACTTAACATAAGTTCCATTATTTTTAGTTTCAGAGAGAAAGAAAAACAATGGGTGGTGAGTCCTAAAAGACTCTTTGATTTGGGAAATTGTAGAGGGCCCACCCAGCCCTCTACAATTCCACACCGCAGCTAGCATTGATGGGTTGGGTGCCATTCTAGGCTGGCATCCCCCACCTTGTTGATTGAGCCTTTCATCTTCTTCCCAGACTGTTCTGTGTCCTCTACTTCCAAAGAGTTAAGATCATCTCTGCCTCTTTTTGATCCTGAGGATTGCTCAGGAGAGGGACTTAGTATCATTTGTCTTTGCAGCCTCCCTTCCTTAGTTGCAGACCTTTTCCAGGAACTCATTCTAGTCAATATTACCTTTCTGCATTGAAGTAATCTTCTGAGGAGTTATGTTTGAAATGGAAGGGAGGGAGAGTTCAATCTCCATTAGCTTATCTTTTTCTTGGATAGGAGTAGCAGAGTTCACTATCTCCATAGAGTGCTGTTGATTCGAAGTGGCCAGATCAGATAATACCAATTGAGTTGAAGGATGCAGTTCAGGAACCTCTGAGGATGAGTCTACTGTATCTTGTGGGCATGTCTCCTGTAAACTTTTCATGGCTGATATGGGAATAGGGCTTTCTGGGATTTGCCCAGTTGAACTTGATGGATTATTTGAATTGGCTGTTGCAGGAGCTTGACTGGTAAATGGAGATTGTCTAGAACTTGAAGGACTAGCATAAGTCCCTGGTATGATATCTTCAGTCTTGAGCCAATCTCCATATTGCCCCTCTTTCAGAGCTTGATTTTTGATGTCTTCAAGCCTTTTCTTGCAGCTTTTGTCCAGATGTCCAATGACTCCACAGTAATAGCAAAGACTTACCAGCCTCTCATATTGAAACCCCACTGTAGCAATTTGATCCCCCAGCCTAATATTGGTGCATCTTGGTAGTGGTTCACCGAGGTTGATAGAAACCAGAAGCTTTAACATCTTACCACCATGGGGGCTTATGTTTTGAACTAGAACATTCTTGACATCCGGGAATGCCTTCCCTATTTTAAGCCCAACTTCAGCACTAAGCCAGTCAAGGGGAAGGTTAGTTACCTGTGCCCAGAGCAGCAACTCATTGAATCCCTTATGCAAGCTATTTAGCCCTTGCTCCCATTCACGGAGAATCAAATATTGGTTGTCATAAATCCAGTTGGTACCGCTTACAACTTTTTCCAAGTCTTCCCTATTTTGGAAGATGAACTGAAAATAATTAGGTTCCAGCTCCTTAATGTCCATTGGTTTTTGCAGCTTCCATATATTATTCATCGTCCTCTTTATACCAATCCAGCTAGCACGGCGGTCACCTATCACCTTTCCGAACAGACTACGTCGGCATGCTTCTGCACTTCGCCGGATATCAACTTGCTCGATGTCTGTGACTAAGGCCTCAGCTGCCGACAAAGAAAAACCTTTGAGACGATTAGCTAGGTCATCCTCCTTGCCCTTATCGTGAGATTCACCCATGACAATCCACCTCAATTTCTCCAAAATCAACAGAGATCTTCCAATGAAACACTCAAATTACAAAGATTCACTGAAAATCCACACTTCAATCGGAATTTTTGGTACGGTCCCAATCGGGATAATATCGCCAGAACGGTCCCAATCGGGATAATTCGATCCTTTTTGCATCCTTATGCTTAGTTCTATAATAACGAATTCAACGTTGGCAAATATATTATTTCTGCGAGTTAAAGACGATAACTATGAATCATTTATTTATTTATAAAAAAAAAAAAGTG